CGCATGACATGCACGAGCAGTGTTCCGTTGCCTCCGGACCTATCACGGGCAACGGCTCGTTCAAAAACGAAACCCCTCGTTGCGAACGTGTCGGACGCGGACCAGCCGGAGACGGACCATTTTATGTGCGGGGCGTGGGGCATGTGGCAGGCGCAAACGCCGGCCACTGGAGCAGAGGGACGCGGAACACGCGAATGTGGATAGTGAATCCACCGTTTGTGTGTGTGTGTGTGTGTGTGTGTGGCTGTGGGTGTGGGGGTGTGGGGGTGTGGGGGCTGGGGGTGGTTCCGTAAGTGTTCCGTTTACGCGTAAGTGTTCCGTTTACGAAAAAAAACCATCAATATCCATTAAAGTGCTCCTGGCACGGCAATGTCAAACACGAGATACGAGTCACTCCGCCAGTCCTGCACGTCGGTGCCCTCCTCCGCTTTGCTGACATTTTGCTGACAAAGTGTTGACGGGGGGGCTTAGCCCGGTGCGGCTGACAACGAAGCTGCTGCCGAGCTTGGGGCCGGTTCCTGGCTGTCCGCCTTGTTGGTCGCATCACAAGCACGCCCAGCCTTGACATAGCAAACTTTTTCACCTGGTCACTTGAGCCAAGCCGTTGCCAAGGCAAGTCGGATGCAATCATTCTTGATTCAAGGAGGTCATGACAAGTGAGGCATCGAACGTGAACCAAGCCATGCCGAGCATGGCATCACAGTCGAAGGAAAATGGAATCAATGTGTGCAGACTTCTGGCTCGTCTGTTGAATCTTGCGCAAAGAATACGCCAGCGCCGAGGAAAATCCCTTTTTTTTTTTTCACGCACCTTTTTGCGACAGTTACCGCGGTCCCAGTGCACGAAAGCGGCATCCTACGCGTACAATGAGTGTTTCTGCAATTGATGATGGTGGGTAGGACCTGTATAGGGCCGTGATCACTCGCAAACTGATTGCGCAAAGCGAGTCAGCAGCCTGGAAAATCTGCATTGTTCTTGCACCCGAGGAAAATAAAAAAATCAACAATGAGATCATACGGAAAATCAAGCAATACATGCGCATAATCATGACAATGAAGTCAATGGTCTGTTCAAGGTCATGCTCAACCACGCTGAGAAAACCCATGCAAATCGCAACTACTCCGACTCTGCAGCCGATGGATGCGACCTGTGGTGAGACTGCGACCCAGACGACGATGTGATATCGTCCGGGCGTCGATCTGACATCGCCGTCGATGGGGCCAAATCCTGGCGAGGCGGTACAAGGCCAATATCCATGCTGTCGTCGAAATGAAGGCCGTGGTTGTGCCGAGGAGGCGCCTGTGCGTCCGTGAGCAAGTCCACCCGCCAGCGAGGTCTGCGAAGCGGGGCATGTGTATGACGACGTCCATCACATGGTCAGGGGGTGGAATCATCATCATGATGATCATATTCTTCATGATCACCATCATCGCCATGTACGTCATGCGACGTGGCACACGTTTTTCACCCGGTCACATGAGCCAAGGCGTTGCCAAGGCCAGTCTGATGCAATCATTCTTGCTTCACGGATGTCATGACAAGCCTGTGTTGGTCACGGCCATGCACGGCCGTTGTTCCGAGCCCTGATCTTTGCATGCGCGCCCCACCAGGCGTGAGGGCCCCTGCGCGAACAGCATGGGCCCGTCGCTGGTGGAGCGTGCTCTCCGTCTCCGTCAGCAGACGTCGGCCACACAGCCCTTGGACGCGCGCGGGCCCTGCAGGGGCCCGCGTTGACTGCGGTGCCGGAGCTGGATGAGATCCTGGCTCTTGCTGACGCGGAACAGCCGCCTGCCGCTGCGCTGACCGTCGGAGACTGCTGACGTAAAAAGGCGTGTGTCAGAAAAAACATCGGCTCCGCTGCCACTCCTGCTCACTACAGCGAGATGTTGGTGTCGCCAACCACATGTGGGGGCCCACTTGAGCCAACGGCAGCCAGGCAGTCAGGCGCTACTGTTGCGACGCATGTCCTCGTGCGGGATCTCAGCGTGGTCCCTGTCCGCCCGGACGAGAGACGCATCGAGGTCATCGCAAACGGCCTGCCCTTGCCGTTGACACCACACTCGTCTCACCCCTCACCGCAGCTGGCATCCCACGTTGGGACGACGGCCGCGCGGCTGGGCAGCTGCGTGTCGCCGAACGATGCCGAACGCGCTAAAGCCCGGACGTGCCCCCCCGTTTATTAGCCCGCATGTCCGGAGCTTGCATCTGGTGGGCGCTGGAGCCCTCGGGCCGCTGAATTTAACCAAAAAAATAATTTTCGCCTGTCTCGCATCGCATGCCCCTGCACAAAGGGCCACATGCACTACCGCGCCCACGTCACGCTGGCCTGCGCTGCTGCCCGTTGCAGCCGCAGGGTCCTTTGCAGGCAGCCTCCTTTCCCTTCCCCGGTCCGGCACAGCCAACGTGGATGGAGACACGCCAGCCGCATGCCGCAATCTGGTTTGCTGCTGCCTTGGCGTTCGGCATCGTTGGGCACATGCACTGGGACCGCGATGTGGACGGACTGGACGGACGTAAAAAGGAGCGCGCCATAATGCGCCATAATAACAAAACTATAACAAAAATGACCATCATCACCATCGCAAGGCGTTGCCCAGGCCAGTCTGATGCAATCATTATTGATTCACGGATGTCATGACAACCCTGTGCTGGTCACAGTTCAAGCACGCACACCTTTGACGTAGCCAAACGTTTTCACCACGCATGAGAGTGCGGTGTGGCACCGGCTTGCAAGTCAAGGCACAACCCCATTTTAGCTTGTTACTCCCAGTTGCTGAAGTCGTTGCGTTTTCCTTTTTTCAGCGGCAGACATTGAGGGGAAGCTTTGCTGTGAGGTCGTTGCGTTTGGGTGTGCCCCTGGGGGAAATGTTTTTAGCATTATCATTGTCAACGCCGTTTGCGTGGAGTCGACGCATATAGATTTATTTAGATCAGGCAACGCTAGCAAAATTCCATGTCGAACTCTAAAACCCCTAAGCCCTGCAGCTAAAGCCTGAACTCTAAACCTGCAACCCTCGGATGTGAAGTAAGCGCTCACTCAGTGGGTTGAAGGTTCGGGAAATGTGATTGAATGCACATCCGCCAGATGAGTGAACGTGGGCCATTGTTGGCATTTGGGGCCCCGGGGTATCGTAGAGGTATCGTTGAGGTATCGTTAGGGGTATCGTTAGGGGCGCAGTCCTCCAACCAGATAATTTCACCAACCTTAAGCCACGAGGGAGCGGATGGCATAATATGGAAAGAATTTTTGCCGGGTGGCAAGCGTCCGGGTTTAACGCTAAACCCTGTACCCTGCTTAAACCTAAAGCCTACACCCTAAGGGCCTAAACCCCGAACACTAACCCTTAAACTAAACCCAACACCGCATAAGAGGGTTTGGGAGAAGCCGTCGAAGAACCAGGGCTGAGTGCATGGGGAACTTCCGTATTACGGCACGTTGTGGTGATTAGTTGTTTAGGATCTTTACTGGGAATTGTTTTTGGCTTTGGGGGGCGTATGGTTAGTTGGTCTGCAAGCGTGTGCCACTGGGAAAATGGGGTCTGTGTTGGGCATTTGTTTTCGTTTCGGGGCATGCAGTGCGCAGTGGTCCGCGGACGTGTGCCCCTGCAGAAACAGGAAATGCAAGGACTTTGCAGGGACCCCTCTCGTTGCGGGTGTGCCACTCGCGGAATGTATAAGAAACACTAGATGCAAGGACTTAGTCGCTTAGGAGTACGTGTGGTAGGAAGGGTGGGTCAACCTTTGGTATGATATCGCACTGCCTTGGACCGCTTGCTTGACCTCGCCACCAACGAAGGGCGAGGCCGCTTTCCCCGGCGGCCCTAAACCGCGTGCCGTTGTAGTAGTAAGACCAATGTAGCTCTGGCATTTCTTGCAATTGGAAAAGGCCGAGGAAAAAAATCGGCTGGTACGGGTTCTTGGGCGTCACAGTAGTCAAAGGTCATAGGTGTCAGGAGAACTACGCCCGACCCACCCTCGGCACACCCCTTTTTTCAGCCGGATCAATAGGGTCCTCCGGAGTCGTGGCAACATCTATTGAGCGTGTCCCCTCGCCCCCTCTCCTTGGGGGCTGATTCCTTTACTTGCCTACACGTCTGCTGCTCATCCCACGCCGCCGGAAGGCCAAGTCTTGGGCAGGGCCACGTACTGCCGGTCGGTCCCTTCTTTCTTGTTTTTCCTGGGCCCCACCCCCTCATAATGGTACTGGGCGGGGGGGAGGGGGGTATACTCTGAGTGCCACCTATTTCCCGGACCCATTTTGTCAGAGTGGGGGTGGGGGGGGGAGCGGGGGGCAAGAAAGTCGGTTGGGACTTGGGCATATTTTGACAAGCCACGCAATTTCGCCCATGCCTGTCGTGCGGCCCACGGGTGCCCACGGCCTACGCACATCGCAGAAAAGTTGCTTGCATTTGTTAGGCGGCGCGTAATCTGCAATGGTTGTTTCTTACAATGCGCATGCAGGGGTAAGAGGGTTGTTTTTACTTCTGTAAAATACGCATGCAAGGTAAAAGGGTTGCACGCCGGAAGCCCATCGGTTTCGATAACTACTTGATTTCGATGTTAACAATATCAACTCAAAGCTATGTGATGCGAACGGCAGCATGCCGTTCAGCCCATTGAGCCCCGACTCCAAATTGCCTGGGACCATATTTCACTGCGGGGGTTTGGACGGCCAGCTGCATGGAAACTTATTTGAACAGAGAGATGGACGCGGCAATGCTGACTCGATGCTCAGCAACCGTGCCGAAAAGCCAGCTGCATACGTCCATGGGGCAACTCTGCGCAGAATGCTTTGTGTGGAGTTTCAGTTCAATCTGCGTTGCACAACTCATTCTACTGCAAGTGCACTGCAAATCGGGTTTTGTGAGGGCATGGGAGAGACTTGAACTGCAGCCGTAGCATGAGTCATATGTGGCCTTTTTCGCGTGCTCAGCAGTGCTCGAGTTTGCTGCCGTAGCTAAAAACAAGGGGTAAAGCTAAGAAGAAAGCCGCTGCGCGCCATGTCGATGTTGGATCCTGCAGTCGTCTCCGCCTTCCTTCAGGAAAGCTTGGCGACCGACCGTCAAGGCGGCCGCTTGCTGAAGAAGATTGGAAGCAACGGCCACTGTGGCACTCAAGGCACAGCCGAGAGGATCCGCCGAGTCTACGCCATGCCCGCAGATTTGCCGCCAGCTTGTCGAACGCCCGAGGCCAGCCGACCTGACCGGCAAATTCCCATGGTGTCGCCTGCGCGTCGTGGTGCGCAAGGTCTTGGGAAGTCCAACAGCTCGCCCACTTTGAAGTACCAGCCCTTTGATCCAACACGAACTGGATTGAACCTCAAACACAATCGGCATTTTGATGTGCCATTCCCACAGCTGTTGTTTCAGCACCGTGTGTTTCAACGTGACAGTGACTGATGGGTCATCCGCCCTACATCTCACAAAGATGTAAGTCAAGCAAGTTGGGCAGATGCTTGACGTCAGAGTCTCTGACATAGCCAGGCAGCAGCGTTCAAGTCAATTTTGCGTGTGACTTCGGTGCCATCTCATAGCACGAGCGCTGGAAATGTGGAGATGTCACAGGAACAACAGCCTCTGCCAAGCAGAAGGCTTCTGGAATCAGGCCCTGATTTATTTGGTGCCCACAAAGTGCGGCTACCAGGCTACTTGGAGGTTCGATAATAAGTAGGAATAGTAGGGTTATTTATTCTGATGGTAACTGTATGTATAACCCCATATGGGGTGCTTCTAACCTTGTTCATAGCTACCAATGAACCTCCAAGGACGGATGTGTTGCTGCACGCCAGCCGAAACATCAGCTGCCACCCTCATGGCACACGTTGTCTTGGCTGGCCGTGCCTTTAGCTCCCTTTCACGGCCTTTCTGTGCTTTTAAAAAAGCGTGCGTGGCTGCGAGGACCATGTCTCAAACATGTCACATGTTTCGGGATGTTGCTCCTAATACTAACAGTCCCTAGTGGCGATTATCATAGGGAGGACTATAATCCCTCTTAAGGACTGTTAGTATAAGGGAATATCCCAACACATGCTTGTCGTTTACTTCGCGCTGCGGCTCAAGAAACTTGGAGTCTTCCACCAGATCATATTGCTTGGAAGCACGCGCACTACAGTACCTACTAATTTCTTAAGAGCCCAGAAAAAGTACAAAATATTCTTCCTTATTAGGGTTAATATGGGGATTATTATGTTTTTAATTTTTGGGTGGGGTTCTTAAGCAAACAGTAGGTACCTGAAGCCTTAAATGAAACACATTGAAACACGCATGAACATCCAGTGTTACTAGTTCCAGGATAGGCTATGATACCCTAACCCCTTTCAAAAAATGCCCTTTTATGGGCTTGAGAATGGGGGTTATAGGGCCGAATAACCCATGCTGGTAGTTACTAGTGAGCACGAACACGTTGCAGCAACATGGGTGCCGTGTAAGAGGGGTATTGCCATGCCTCTGAGGGTTTGGAGAAGACACTATGCAGTGCCAGCATTCTCCATCGGAGCCTTGGCAAGTGAAGTCCGTGCTCGTCTCAGAGTTGCGGCTTGAAATCTAAAACCCCCAACCTTGAACCTTTAAGTCTAAAATGCGCCCAGCAGGTTTCAGAATCGATTGTCCCGAGCTTGCCCGGCCCGGAGGTTGGCACGTCAAGGTTTGACGAACCTTCAAAATTCGCTTCAGCACTCTAAGCCTTGACCACTCAAGTGGCTTCGCGCAGCGAATAAACATCAAATGAACTGGAATGCAGTGGCAGAGAATACGTACGGCGAAGGCTTCCGCAAATGCTCGTGGCTTTGCCCGTTTGCCCCTTTTTGTTTGTATCCCGTAGTCCTCGCCCTGTTGCAAGGCAACCATAAAACCTAAACCCTAAGCTTCAACCCTAAATCCTAAATCTTAAACCCTAACTACCCTAAACCATAGGTCTCACAGACTAGGCCGATGCTGACACTTCCGCCAACATGCCGATGCCGGAGCAACTCAGCCTTGGCCATTTTTTTCGGTTTAGGGTTCATAGGGTTTAGGGTTTACGGTTTCGGGTTTAGGGTTTAGGGTTTAGTATGGTTACCCAAAATTCCGAAACCCTGAACCTGAAGGCCCATAAGCCCCATAAAACCTTATACAACTCCACAAAACTCCGTACAGTAACCCCCCATGAAACTTATAAACCCTATATGACTGAACCTTCGCGACCCTAAAAACCCGTGACCCCGAATATAGTCCCAAATAGTATAGGACTCGCTTATAATCAGGACCCCGATATGGTACCCCGAATTTCGCAAACCCTAAGCCCTAAACCCTAAACCCTAAACCCTAAACCCTAAACCTCCCCCCCCCCCCCCCCCCCCCATGTGTCTGCATCTCGAAGTTGCTGCAGGTGATTTTGGGGACCAAGTGAACCCAAAACCTGTTCTCGGGCGGATTTGAGGTTCAAAAACAAGGGTTCGGCACCTTGTATCTTTTCAGTGCCCGAAACAAGGATTTTGACTTGGCCCCCAAAACAGCAGCAGCAGGCGGGTCTGTGATGCCCTCGTAACCCAGGTCGGACAATTACACCCCATAGCCCCTTAAAAAGGCCCCTTCTAGGGTTTGATTCTGGGGATTATGGGGCCTAATATCCCTAAATCCTAAACCCTAAACCCTAAACCCCAAACCCTAAACCCTAAACCCTAAACCCTAAACCCTACTGTAATCCCAGGTCTGCTGGTGGCTCTGCACAGTCCTCCGAGTGGTTTCGTGTTGCCGATGGCCGCACAGCTGCCATTATAAGAGTCGCAAAATGAAATCACAAAGGTTATTTGGGTTTAGGCTTTAGGCTTTAGGGTTTTGGGTTTTGGGTTTAGGGATTAGGGTTTGGGGTTTCGGGTTTAGGGTTTAGCCGGGCACCCCTTCCTATGGATCCAAAATCCAAAAAGCGTGTACCCAACCACCTCTCGTAACCAGAAATGCAATCTTGAAAGCCCAGTGGCATCCTTTTCCGGATATGGTTTCTGGGCTGCCCAGAATCTTTATATAATTAACATGCAGGCACAGCCCTACCACGGACTGGTGATCGGCTTCACACGGAGGTCCATGGTCGCTTCGTTTCCGTTCTCCGTGGTCATGCAGGTGCCGCTGCTGTTGTTGTGCATAAACGAACCGGAAGGGAAGATGGATCAGATGATCCGAGTTGTGCATTCTGTGGGGGGTACTGTCGGAGACCGCTTCGGATTTTTGGGAGTTTGGGTTTGAGGCCAGAATAGGGTCTTGGGCATGAATCTACCCAAAGGCTCCAATGTAGTTCCTTTTTGGGTTAATTACGGGAATTCCAGTATACTACTCCAAAAAGGTACTACATATAGGAGGCTTTGGGTAGAGTAGTAGAGTTCAGGGTGAGCTGACCTTTCCCGGCCGATGCTCCAACGCAAACAGAAGAACCTTGCTCTTCAAGCTTTGGGGCATGGAATCGTGTGCCATATGCCCTGGCCCGAAACGCTGCCATGAATCAGAGGTGCTCTTCACTGTATGGATTCCATTTGCTACCACACTGGTGGGCCGCTCGCCATTGGTGACATTGAGGAGGCGGCCTTGCGGGTTTTTGGGATGTTCAGGGCTTTGGCCGAAATGGCGCACGGTGCTTGCGAGACTTGTAGCATGACAACACGCCATGTTTTCTGGACGTGCCAGGTCAACGGGGAGCTGTGCATACGCTGCCCTTGGCATGACTACTCTGTGAGACTGGCGGACGGTGCCAAGCCCTACCAGTCCATGAAGTTCGACCCTGGAACCAAGAGTCTTGGCTTTCCCTAAACCCGAAACCCCAAACACTAAACCCAGTTTGAAATTCCAGTTTGCCAGGCCCTGGGCTCTTGAATTTAACCCCAAAGGACACCTATACATGCACATATATGCACCTTTGTCCCTCAAGCTACGATATAGGAACCCCTTTAAGGCCCAAGTATATGCTACAACCTATATAGTATATACTTGGTCCATCTTGGTCCCTAAAGCTACGATATAGGAACCCCCTTTAAGGCCCAAGTATATGCTACATAGGTACCATGGATTTTTAGGGAACGCCCAACACGAGCTTTTCCCGGACAGGTCGTGGCTGGTGCCTTTTGGCGTTCGTTCCGAACATACCAGTTTAGGGTTTAGGGTTTAGGGTTTGGTGTTTAGGGTTTTTGGTCGCAGAGCAACCATCCAGGGGCAGAAATTGCTTGTACCCTGGGCATTATCATGGCACAGCTCACAGGCCCGAACGAAACCTCTCGAAAGCACAGACGCCCTGCACCCTTCCAACTCCGAGATAATCCCTAAACATCCCTAACGTTAGGTACCCTTTATCCCCCTATCTGAGTACCCTAAACCCTAAACCCTAAGGGTCCATGTACTTAAATAGGGAGTACTGGGGCCCCCTAGTCCATATACAGGAGGTACTTTAAGGCCCAAGTACTCCCTATTTAGGTACATGGACCCTTACTTGGAGGTTCAGGGTACTTATAACCCCAATTATAACTGTACTTATCAGCCCCCTGACTCCCCTAAGTAGGTTATAAGTAGATTTCTAATTGTGGTTATAAGTGCCCATGAACCTAAACCCTAAACCCTAAACCCTAAACCCTGAACCCTGAACCCTAAACCCTAAACCCCAAACCCTAAACCCTAAACCCTAAACCCTCCAAGTAAGTCAAGGAAGCTGGTCCCGGATGGCTGGAAGTACACGCGGCAGACGCAGCGCACGCACGAGGCGGTCCTGCGCGAAGGGGCAGCGCCAGACGGAGGCGTGGGCTGGAGGGGTTGAGTCGGTTTAGGGTTTAGGGATTCGGGTTTAGGGTTTAGGGTTTAAGGGTTTAGGGTTTAGGGTCGGTTTGTTGTAGAACTTACTGGTTCTTAGCAGGGAATCATCACTTGAGGGGTTAGATTATAGGGGAACATAAGGTACGCTGATTCCCTATTGAGAACTAGTAAGAGAAGGGTGCGTGATTGCTTCGACTCAAGTCGATTAGGCCATCTTGGAGTGAGCGAAGCTTCTTTTCCGGTCATCATATGTTATCATTCGGCACCACAGTCATCGAAAAAAGTTTCTAGTTGGGATCTGCTGGCCAAGCAACTGAACTGAGAACTCGGGCGCTCTGCGGCACTCAGCCAGTTAGACACTCAGATGTTGCAGACGACATGTTTCCTATATCCCCCTGGGGAATTATTCTATATTTTTGTTTATCTAAAACCCAAGAGGATATTAAACATACTATTTTTATTAAGGTTCTAAGGGGAGTATAGAAGGGTCCATGTACCAATAGAGTGCAAACTTGTGCCTTAGAGGGGTTCCCATATAGTAGCTTTAGGGCCCAAGTATACACTATGTAGGTACATGAACCCGTTCTAAGGGGAGTAGAGTTTCAGCTGCATAGACGTTTTGGGCATGGGGCAGGGCTGGTCAATCGAAGCGATGGAATGTCCAGCCGGTTTGACTGCTAGCACAGGGTTTAGGGTTTAGGGTTTAGGGTTTAGGGTTTAGGGTTTAGGGTTTAGGGTTTAGGGTTTAGGGTTTAGGGTTTAGGGTTTAGGGTTTAGGGTTTAGGGCATGACTTCCTCCCACCCTCTCTTTGTGCAAAGCTCGAAGGAATTTGGGTTCGGCTCAGCACCGACGGCAAGTTCGAGAGTGATCAGTTTGCTTACAACAGCAACGCTGCCAAGAACGTAGCGCGAGGTGCAGCAGTGGGTGCAGTGTAACCCTAAACCCTAAATCCTAAACCCTAAACCCTAAACCCTAAACTCTAACCCTAAACCCTACACCCTGAACCCAGTGTGTTGGTAGAGGGCCAGTCTTCGACTTGGTCATCGACAGCCTGCCTATAAGCCCTAAGGCTCGAAATCGCCCAAAGTAGGTATTGTTTATAGGGTTGAGGGTTTAGGGGTTTAGACCCCAATCTAGGTTTTTTTCTTTGTATACTTGGAGCCCTTGCGAGAAAGGCCTAATAGCCCTTCGGGCTGCACTTGAGAGGAGAGCAGCCTTAAATGCAAAGCATAGAGACAGCCTGTTGGTTGCTTTGTCAAGTCTGCTGTCTTTGTCACAAAGGTTCAGGAGGGCGAGATGTGCAGAGTCTACCCCCCTAGTCGCCTGAGTGCCGTGCCTGCAGGCGATCGCGCGTTTGCTCCAGACGGCAAGAGCCTTGAGAACCCGGAGCCTTTTGGGAGTCCGCAAGCCACATCACTGGTCCACACATGTATAGTGCGGCATCATAATGTGCATAGCAAGCTGACTGTCTGGCATGGCATATCATGGCACTCAGAGTGGGCTCACGTGGCTTGACTCTTGGAAACTTGTGAGGAGAAGGGCGGCCCTTGTGGGTATAAAAGGAGCGGCGAGGCAGGGTCGGATTTCGGGGGGGAGACCCTGAACCGGTTTAGGGTTTAGGGTTTAGGGTTTAGGGTTTAGGGTTTAGGCTTTAGGGTTTAGGGTTTAGGGATTGCAAGAGGTCGAGCTGCCTCTCTGGGCCAAGCTGAGATAAAGCAGGTTGCCTGCGAAGCTTCGAGAAAGCGATCTTGAAGACTACACAAGTCGAAAGAAGAAAGCACCTTCCAGCATGGCCCCGAAACACAAGCAACACAAGCGAGGTTTAGGGTTTAGGGTTTAGGGTTTAGGGTTTAGGGTTTAGGGTTTACACAAAGGCCAGTGGGGGCTGCAGGTGATAGCCGAGATGCGGGCCAAAGCGTCGGGCGCTCAAACTCATGCATGGAGCTGGGACGAGCTTGGGCGCACATAGGCAGGCCCGTGATGTGTATGTAACCCTCAGCAGAAGAACTATACACTTTTGCCCGCCCCTTTTGGAAATAGAGTTTGTGCTAAAACAAACCAGGGCCGACGTCGCCTAGGGGATCGGGCTCGACGGCCTGGTTTACACCCGGGGGGCGGGGGGAGGGCGTTTTCTTTCACAGTTAAGTGCTGCGAGGTGCTGCATGTCAGTTTGTTTTTTCGCCCTCAGAAGTAGGTACGGCTTGTAGCCTTGCAAGCGGCACTGCAATTCATCAAGTGCTGTTCTGTGGAGCAGTGTAACTTTCAGTTCAACCTTTCTCAAGGGCAAGGTTGTAGCTCTTCCAAGGCGTTCTTGTTCTGGTGTTCCTTCAGAAATGGGGGGGGGGGGGCGTGGGGCTTTATCCAACACCATGACAAGGGGGCTGAGGTTGTGAGATGGAGGGATGGTTGAGAATTTGGTCGTCCCTGATGCTGATTTTCGGAATGTTCGGAAAGGCGACGAGGCTTTCGCCCATGTAAGTATTGAATCCCAGAAGCCTAAAGTTTGAACAAATGTTACATGCCGACTATCGGGTGTCTTCACCCGAAACCCAATATTACTTTGTGGTGCTTTACTGTAACTTTAGATCCTTAGCCTTTTCGGGTTGATTGGGATTCTTAAGAAGGCAGCTAAAAACTTAATTTATAGCTACCCTACTAAGTGCAGCCAAGTAGACTTGAACCATCGGCCCCGAATTGTCCCTGCAGTGCTCACAGACCAACGAGGCGGGTGGCGAAGCAAAACGAAAGGGGCAAAGCCTTGAAATTCACCCCAAACCCCAAACTCCCAAACCCCCAAACCCCAAACCCCAACTCCCAAACTCCCAAACTCCCAAACTCCCAAACTCCCAAACTCCCAAACTCCCAAACTCCCAAACTCCCAAACTCCCAAACTCCCAACCCCCAAACCCCAAACCCCAAACCCCAAACCCCAAACCCCAAACCCCAAACCCCAAACCCCAAACCCCAAACCCTAACCCTAAACCCTAAACCCTCAGCCCTCAGTCGTCTTCCCGTAAGGTCAACACAGAAGATGCCACCTCCAGCTCTACTAACCCAGCCGGCCACCTTGCAAAGCCTGCATCCTGTGGAGTGGCGTCCTTTCCGACTTCTAAGTGGCCGGGCATGCAAGGGTTTAGGGTTTAGGGTTTAGGGTTCAAGGTTTATAGGGTTTAGGGTTTAGAGTTCAGGGTTTAGGGTTTAGGGGTTAGGGTTTAGTGGCATCTCGCCCCGCAGCGCAGTAAATATCATGCAGAGATGGCGCCGCAAAAGGCGGGCGGCATAATATCTCGCCTCGGCATGTCCTGGACTTGGACGGTGAGTTTCCCACCCCCTGCTTGCGCGGGCATCCACCCAACTTTCTCCTTTTAGGGTTTCAGGCCAATGCCTTAAATTCCCTCTTCCATCCCTATCGTCTCAAAGGATACGTAGGGTTTAGAAGAGGGTCGGGGAGGGGCCTCATACGACGTTCAGAAGCCATTTCGGGGTCAGGTGGAGTCTGGTCGTTGGGTTTAGGGTTCTTTATGACCTGAATGGAGGTGCAGCTCACGCATACGCAACCTTTAGTTGCATAGTACCTCCAAGTGAATAACTACCAAAGTGGCTCCAGGCACCCTAGAAAAGGGTCGGGAATTTCGGGTTAAAGGGTTTTAAAAGGGTTTAGGGCTTAGGGTTTACGACCGAACGCAGACCAGAAGTCCCACCTGTCTACCCACCCATCTATCCTTGTCTGCATGGGTAAGGTTTAGGGTTGAGGGTTTAGGGCTTAGGGTTTAGGGTTTAGGGTTTAGGGTTTAAGGGTATGGCAGGGTACTCTGCCACTTCTCTGACGTGTTTCCTTGCAGGAAAAAAGGTCACACTGCCAGGCAGCAGGCGGGACCATGAAACGCGATACGATTCTTATATTCATATTGCATGACAAACATAAACATAAAACATCAACAGATATGTGGAAAATAAAGAAGTATAAATATGTATACATATACATATATACACGCATTGTATATATATATATATATATATATACATTCATGTATAGATTTCTATTCTCATCTCATTCCTGCATCTGTTCTTCGGCCAGCTTGCCTCGTAAAGGCGTCCCTTAAAAGATTCCTTTCCTTTCCGACGTGAAGCATTCACAAGGAAGGAAGCGAGACGCTTCCGTTTCTTCTGTCATTTCTGCCTCCTTCGCATCATGCACTCAAATCTCGCTGTAGATCTTCACGAGATCCTACTCCGAGGCAAGAAGCAGCTCGCTGGCAGCATGTGGCTGTTTCGCTTCGCCCTGCCACCGGAGTGCTGGGTAAGCCGACGGCCTGAACGCATCGCATGAGTCACTAGAGCCCCTGAACAAACCAAACACACCACACACGGGTTTAGGGTTTAGGGCTTAGGGCTTAGGGCTTGGGGCTTAGGGCTTAGGGCTTAGGGAAGCCAACTGCGCTCGCAACCCTTGCTGGGTGCGTTTGCCATGAAGTGCCACCAAGCCCTTCAAAATCCTCATTTTGTACAGGACCAGCAGCTCGGCTGGGCTTCGCTGCGACATGCCCCCTAGCTTGGTCTGTGGCCGTTTTTAGGGTTTATAGGGTCTAGGGTTTAGGGTTTTGATGCTCAGGGCATGGCGTGTGGAGTGATTATATGACCGGAAACAGTGACGCTCTGCTTTGATCTGCTTGCAGGTTCAGCTGCGCTTACCGCTGCCAGCGATGGATGCTGCTGGTACTGGTCCGGCTGCAGTGGAGCGCGACACTTGCCCCAATTGCCGAAGCACCTCAAGGCCAGACTTCCAAGAAGACAAATAGTACCTGCCTTGGGGTCTACGGTCTACAGCAACCGGACGCGCGTGTGCACACACGGCCAGTCAGGGAGTCAGGGTAGCCACATTCAAGCCTGCCTCAAATGATCCCGTCCCGGCCAATCATTCCACTCAAGCGAATACATCTGCGCCAATGTCCTCTTGGTAGCCCAGTGGTACCCTTTACCCTCTTTTTTGTTGTTGTGGGGTTCCCCTATAATTTAACCAACCAAAAACAGGGTGCCCTTCTTATAGTATGGTTGCTGGGCTTCCAAGTCCTCTTGAATTGTGAATCGCAGTACCCTGGAGCTCAAGACTTTTAAATGTTTTGACGCCACCGCATTGGTCATTCAGGGATACCAAATCCTCGCGTGCCGGCATTTAAAAGAGATGAGTCCCCAAGGAGTACACTCCGGTGTCTCCGCTGGGCCGGACGGGCAGTTTCGACCTGGCAGTGCATCTGGGTCGCCTTGGCCAAGTCTCTGCGGGGTTTCGGATTTCGGGTTTAGGGCTTAGGGGTTAGGATAAATTTGTCTCCCTTTCGGGGGGTCTTTTTTAATCAAGGAATCGACGTTGGGCGTTGTGGCAGAGGCATCGATGCAAAAGGGCTCTTTTGGCCGTCGATGCCGAGCCCAGGTGCGAGAGAGGGCGTAGGCCTTCAGTGCTTTTGTCCCAAGGGTCCATGTACCCATATAGCATGTACTTTGGCCTCAAAGCTAGTATATGGGAACCCCTTTACGGCACAAGTGTATACTATATATACCTCGTAGTAGAGTAGGTAACCTTTAACCTTTTTGGTTTAAGATAACCCCCTTGCTGGACATCTAAGTATAGGTACATGAGCCCTTTGGCTGTGCACAGCCCAGGAAGATCTATCCGGAGGGCACGCTGACGCCAAGGCTTGCCAAGACGCTCACCGGAACTCACCGGATGTCTCAGGGAGAGACTCCCGAACTTGGTGGGTTTAGGGTTTAGGGTTTAGGGTTTAGGGTTTAGGGTTTAGGGTTTAGGGTTTAGGGTCAGCTCACCCACTTAATTACTGGTTCTCCGGAGGTCCCGGATTCATAGATGAAGCCGCTGTAAGCCGCTGGCATCTGAACTCAGGATGGCGCCGGGTCAGCTGGTGGACATGCGCGGACCGCTTGGCGCTGTTCGGCCAAGAGTTGTTTCTTTCTTAGGGTTTAGGGTTTGGGGTTTAGGGTTTAGGTTTAGGGTTCTCTTCTTATCAAACCTTGCTCAACTGTGCTCATTCCACACCTGAGACTGAGGATTTCAGCTTCTCCTGGTCGGCCAAGTCCTTAACTAGGCTCGAGACACCCAGTCCGCACTCGTATCCGCACACTCGCGAATCTATCCCGTGGAGCCTGCTTGACAACAGCTGACAAGCTGACGTGCACCAAACGTCCATGCTTCTTCCGACATAGGTCAGTTCTCAAGACTATGCTTAGAGAAGTGGCCATATCTCGACATGTTGTGCAGACTAAACCCTAAACCCTAAACCCTATATAAACCCTACTGGTCCAGGCTGCAGCAAACCATCAACTTCGAGAGCCCCTCAGCTGCTTGAGCGCCTTCTGGGAGACACGGCGTGGCACGATTCTTGGGGCATGGGTTTTGGCAACTTAAGCTGCTGCCGAACATGGGCTTCCCTAAAGAAACGCCCTTCACTTGAACCCTAAACCCTAAACCCTAAACCCGATAAAATCTGCAAAGTCTGCAAAGTCCGAGGTCTCTTGTTTGTGGTTGCCGGCAGCGGGGTGACTCCTGCTATACAGGTCCTCCAGGAGCCCCGTCCTCTCGCAGTATGCGCGTCAAGGGACTAGAGGAGGGACCCTTATAAGGAACTGTTTAGGGTTTAGGGTTTAGGGTTGGCTGCGAGGAGTTCCGATGCAAAAAGGGTTTAAGGTTGGTGACCGTCTTCCCCCCCTCATAACCCTCCCTGTAACCCAATTACCTGCAGTTTTTTGGGCTATTAATCAAGGGGGAATTACCACTAAACCGCAAGCAATTGGGGTTACAGGTAAACCTTACAAGCCCTAAACAGTGAAGTTGGCACGCTGCAGCTCCGATGTCCAGTGTGTCCCAGAAGTCCTGCGGAGTAGTTCGTCCAGCTGTGCGGGTGCCAAAACAATATCCATTCTTGGTAGGCCGAGTGGTGCCCTGTACCCTTCTTGTTGGTTCTGGGTGCCCTTGTAAAGTAACTAACCGAAAAAAGCATACGCTGTTTATAGAATATGGTTGCTGGGCTACTGAGTAAGCTTTTCTAAAGAAAAGAATGGCAACAGCCCAAAAGTACGCATTCGAATCGTTCACCTTTGCGTTCGAGGACTGGATCGCTTCAGGCAGCGCGGGAGCTGTCCACAGAGGGTTTCCAAAAGGGACCCCCCCCCCCCAAATAAAAACAAAAACAAGAAAGAGTAACTTAATTTTCAACTCTGAACCCTAAATCCTAAACCCTAAACCCTAAACCCTAATGTAGAGAGCCCCTCATATTCCAGATTGAGCTCTATGAACCGTTAAGGCCACAGGGTTCCTGGAGGTTTGTACACATGTCCGGCTTTGTCTTCATGTTGGCAAGCAGTCACTCACTGAAGCATACTCGGCAAAGGTTGCCGTCCATTGCTTCGTGGTCAGGTTCCGAGTTTAGGGGTTTGTTTTGGGGTTCTTATCAAACCCTAAACCCTAAATTTAAACCCTAGACCCTAAACCCTAAACCCTAAACCCTAAACCCTAAACCCTAAACCCTAAACCCTAAACCCTAAACCCTAACTACATAATTGACCCAACAAGGGACCCCTAATTTAGAGAACTACCCTCGTTGTGCTTGGTTGACGCCACGTCGAAGAGACCGCAAAAAATCGAAAGCACTCTGAAGATGGTTTAGGGTTTAGGGTTTAGGGTTTGGGGTTTGGGGTTTAGGGTTTAGGGTTTAGGGCTAACATGGCAGTGGCAGGCCACGGGCGAAGCCAGGTCACAGTGACGGTGGTCTACAGCAGTCGCTCGGAGGATGAGACGCTTCGGCACCCACTTACGAAGAGGCGTTGTGGGATCAGGGGGACTCGCAGAAAACCGGGTTTAAGGTTTAGGGTTTAGGGTTTAGGGTTTAGGGTTTAGGGTTTAGGGTTTAGGGTTTAGGGATAGTTTCCTGATTATCCTGATTTCTGTTCCTCGAATCATTGCAGAGAGCTTCATTGACAATAAGCCTGGTAAGCCCTAACGAACCCTTGGAAGCCCGAATGCCCTAAACTGCCCTTTTTGACCCTGCAGACCCTTAGCCTTGACCCTACACTGGTTGGTTGTGGTGTGACATTGCAAAGACGCGTGATTCGCTTGGGCTTCAATGTGAGCTTCTCCGTAAGCCCAATGCCAAAACGTGCTAGGTGAAGGCATGATTAGATCATGTGCGAGTGTCGGATGTCCTTATACATGCGGCACAGACCCTGCAAAGCGAGTGTTCGTTCAGCTAGGCGGGAGGAAAGACAGGCAAGAATCAAATCGTTTCCTTCAAGGATTGCATTCCTCCCAGAGCTACGTCAGTTGGCACAGCAGCTGCTCAGCTTGAGTTCCATGCGAGTTTTGGGTTCCGGGGAGGGGGGGGGGGGGTGGCTGACAGCAGCTCAGCGTGACGGAGCAGCCTGGATCTTGCTAGCGTGCAGAGTCCTGATGCAAAAAAAGGTTTCGAGGGGTTGTACTAAGAGGGCTTGACCGGTTTCCTAGTCGCACAGCATCTTCGAAGAGAACTGCCCGGATCGTATGGATTGGCACCTGGAGAGACCCCACGGCATGGTTCCCCCTTATACTAACAGCCCTGAAGAGGGATTATAGTAGGGTGTCACTATAATCCTTATGAAGGACTGTTAGTTATAAGGGGGAACCCTAAACCCTAAACCCTAAACCCTAAACCCTAAACCCTAAACCCTAAACCCTAAACCCTAAACCCTAAACCCTAAACCCTAAACCCTAAACCCAACTCCCTTAATTGTTAGCATCAGGGGGAACATCCCAAGTTGTGTGGCCGGAGTCCAGGTTCGTGGGGCGGTTCCGCCTTCACCTTGCGGCGCCTCGGAAGCCTTATTCTTGCAGGATTATAGGCGTGGAGGAATCCTCCAGCGACCGGGGGTTTAGGGTTTAGGGTTTATAGGGTTTAGGGTTTAGGGTCTAGGGTGCTCAGGTGAGCCAGCCGACGCAGACGTTTACGGAGGGCCACCGTGGCAGGATTGACGAAAAGGTGCCACATGGCGAATACCCCCTACCTCAGGCTAGAAATCCCGGAGCCGACCCTATAAAGGGCCCTTTTTTAAAGGGGGTTAATTAGAGGGTATAATAGCCCTAAACCCTATAAAGGGCCTTCTAAGGGGTTATAGGGTATAATAATCAACCCTATACAGGGGCTTTTTTTTAAGGGGTTAGCGGGTATAATCGCCCGCGTCCTGGTGTCCTAAACCGACCTTATGTCGCTTGGCAGGTCCCTGAGCACTGATCAAGTTATTTAGGTACTGGCAAACCACTTCGTGAAAGTCGTGAGTCTTGGGGCCTTTTTGCCCAGCAGATTTGACACAATCTGTCAGGAATGCATCACTAAGGGGTTTTAAGGTCACCCCTGACCCTAAACCCTAAACCCTAAACCCTAAACCCTAAACCCTAAACCCTAAACCCTAAACCCAAACCCCAAACCCCAAACCCTACTACACCTACTGGTGCTTCCTCAGCACCAGTCCACACAGCATGTGGAGGTGCTGGGGCACTGGCTCGGCCGAGGAGGTGCCGAAACGGTGGCTCTGGTGCCTCGGCGCATGGTGGACGATGGTTTGAGGGGGAAAAGGGGTGTAGGGTTTAGGGTTTAGGGTTGAGGGTTTAAGGGGGAAAAGGGTTTAGGGTTCGGGTCCAGCGTCACAACAAGTAGGAGAACAAAAAAGGTGGTTGCAGTTTCGGCTTAGAGTTTTACATGTACTGTTCAGGAGCTTAAGGGGTGGGGGGGGCTGTGTCCAGGTTTACCTTGGATCTTTTCTGGCATGGGCAACTGACAAATAGCAGGGCCTTCTGAAAGCTGCAAACTCTGCCTGGAGGTTTGTGTTGGTCTTCGCATGAGTTGAGCTTCTGGATAGGAGGTTGAGAGGCCAGGTCAAAGACGAGGGGCCCTTATTTACTAGGATACCCAGCCCCAACGCCCATTTTCTGGTTTGAGGCTTAGGAACCAAACAGAACAGGGCAAACGAGTAGGCTCCTGACAAGTGGCTGCACTAAGATCTGTGGTCCGGCCGGCTTCAATGATCTCATGAAGGAAGCTTTGCGCAACCTGGGCTTTGCAAACCTGCTTTGCTTGTAGGCCAAGTGTCTCACACTGGCTCTTCTGGAGCATCTGCCGCAACAAGCGAGCCCCAAAACAGCAAAGCAGGGCTGCAAATTGGAGGTATCAGATGGCGCGGGGCAATTTAAAAGGTACCTGTGCTCGACGAAGTAGTAGGTCCCACCCCCCCACCCCCCCCCTCCCCAATAATTAAGGCGATTTAGGGATAATTAAGCCGAGTGAAGGTCACAAAAGGGGGGAACCTGGTATAGAGGGGGGTAGGGCAGAAGGGAAACCCATGATCCTTGTGCCTCTTTCATGCAGAAGTGTGGCTCAGCCCTTCGTAGGGGGACCGCGCCGTGCTCAATGGCTGCCCTGCTCGATGCCATCAGGCAGCGTGGGCTTCTTATGGTTTCGATGATCTTCACGCTCCCCTTAAACCCTAAACTCTATAAACCCTAAACCCTAAACCCTAAACCCTAAGCCCTCAGCTTGGCGTGGGTTTCATGCAGGTCCGCCATGGCTGCCCCGGACGCCCGTCCAACCGGGTCCCGGCCTTATCCTTCGAAGCACCACAGCGCCTAGGGGGAAGGTCCAGCGCTCTTATCCCCACATCTTCAAGGGACTTAGCGAGCCCTAAACCCTAAACCCGAAACCCGAAACCCTAAACCCTAAACCCTAAACCCCAACCCTAAACCCTAAACCCTAAAGCGGGGCACGAGGACCAAGAGCCATCTTGCTACCCAAGGTACCAGCCCTCCGAGCTAGCGGTGCGCTCGCTGTCGGGCGGGCATCGTGTCGGGATTCAGCTCTGAGTGGGGTTTTAGGGAAGTACAATTCCTTGCCATGCTAACAAAACAGTCATAGGAAGAAGAAGAGTAGTAGTCATACAGGAGTACAGGAGCCCGCCTCACAATCCGCAGTCCCTACCTCGAATTGCCTTACACGACACTGAGACCCTGCACCCTAGAAATAACCCTATGACCTTATTATAAACTCTAAACCCTAAACCCACTCTGATTACAGAGGCCCCTGAATTGGCCAAGGCATGCATCAAGCGGAGCCTCACGATCGCTGAAGCTTGTCTTTACGAGGAAACATTGGCACGCCTTGCATAAGAGTTTTAGGCTTCAGGGCTTAAGGGCTTGAGGGTTTAGGGTTTAGGGTTTAGGGTTTAGGGTTCGATGGTCTTTCAGGGCCAGAGGTCGTCTGGGGCTGTAAAGCAGGCACGCGTTCCGACATGAAGCTCAGTCCAGACGCACACAATACGCAGGTCATGCGTTTGGCTTGGACAGGGGGGCAGGGAGCGTGGCGTTGCTTGAGGTTGTTGAAAGCTCTCTTCTCCAGCAAGAGTGGTTGCACATGAGCACGAATTATAGAAACAACAGGATATTGCATCATAAGTGGCGCTGGCCATACGAATCGCGTGAGTAACGACCTGCACCCGGCCTTGATTTGGGTATTTCCAAGGAGGGACGGGATCCTGTATATTCTTCCTCTCCTTGCATACCCTCAACCCTAAACCCTGAACCCTAAACCCTTAACCCTAAACCCTCAACCCTATAAACCCTAAACCCTCTTTTACTTGTAATAATTTATAATTTACACCTTGTCAAAAAAGCCGTGGCCATTGGCAAACTCGCCAATGGCCACGGGAAAGTTGCCAATGGCCACGGCATTTTTGCCAATGGCCACGGTTTTTTGCCAATGGCCACGGTGTTTTTTGCCCAATGGCCACGGGTCCACCAATCAGCAAAACAAACCGTGGCCATTGGCAAAAAAGCCGTGGCCATTGGCCTCCCCCCCAGTGTGAGAGAGCGAGCGAGAGAGAGAGAGAGAGAGAGAGAGAGAGAGAGAGAGAGAGAGAGAGAGAGAGAGAGTGGCTGCAAAGCCTCTGTCTGAGCCTTGCTGTGCTGCCTGAGCGGAGCTCTCTCTCTCTCTCTACTAATGACGCTCTCGGGTTTAAGACCTGCCACCCCTTTCTTGTTTTGACGTGGTTGCTTTGGAATTGGTGCCCCCGGTGACCGCGCCTGCCGATTGAGCGGTTCGAGGGTGGGATGGACTGCTCCCATGACAGAGTGAGGTTGGGAGACAGGCTTGCTGATGGAAAAGACAAACTCTATATTTCTCAATGTTTTGGGATTCTCTGGGTGAATGTTGTTTTAGCGGCTCTCCAGAGATTGCTCGACCCGGAGCTGCTGAACCGTAAACCCTCAACCCTAAACCCTAAACCCTAAACCCTAAAGCCTAAACCCTAAACCCTAAACCCTAAACCCTAAACCCTAACCCCTACCAAGGAAGGCAGAAAGCGGACTGTGGCCTGGAGAAGCGGAGCATCCCCCATCACCGTCCAACTCATCGTCGAGGAGGGGTCAACCAGAGTGCCTGGGCTCGGACCTGGGTTTAGGGTTTAGGGTTTAGGGTTTAGGGTCTAGGGTTTAGGGTTTAGGGTTTAGGGTTTCGGGTAGCCCGGCTCCGAAAACGGTTTTGGCTAATTAGAACGCACGCATATGGGTAGTTCCCGGGGCCCCTGTTGGGGTTCCTTTTTCTATAAGGTGCCGTACTATATAGGGGCCCTTAATTTCGAGGGCTACCCATGTAAAGTCACCTCAACCAAAGCCAAAAAGACGAAGCGTGCGAGAAGCGGTCTTTGTGTCTTCCATCCACTGGTGAAGACCAGGCAGGGGGCACCTATATGCATCTTGATGCTCCCCCTTCTACCTAGTACCCCCGCTTGTCATCCATGTTAAGGATTGTTAGTACAAGGGGAAACCTCCCAACTCTTACATCACGCTAAACCTCTACTGGATTCCCTAAACCCTAAACCCTCAACCCAAACCCTAAACCCTATTCCTCTACTGGATTGTAAAGGGCATCCCAAAGCTCAGGACATTGCTGATGGGACCACTACCCCCCGGCTCTTCTACCCGAAGCCAGCGGCACAACAGCTTTGAGAATGGCAGCTCAACCAAGTCTCTTTAGGGTTTAGGGTTTAGGGTTAGGGTTTAGGGTTTAGGGTTTAAGGTTTAGGGTTTAGGGTTTTTGGTTTAGGGTTTAGGGTTGGGGTTTAGGGTTTAGGGTTTAGGGTTTAGGGTTTAGGGTTTAGGGTTTAGGGTTTAGGGTTTAGGGTTTAGGGTTTAGGGTTTAGGGTTTCGGGTTTGGGGTTTGGGTTTGGGGTTTGGGGTTTGGGGTTTGGGGTTTGGGGTTTGGGGTTTGGGGTTTGGGGTTTGGGGTTTGGGGTTTAGGGTTTAGGGTTTAGGGTTTAGGGTTTGGGGCGTGTGGGGTTGAAACTGTTTAGGCCGTTTAGGCCAGCTGGTACTTTCTCAAGGGCCGTGATATGGCGGCGCAGTTCCTACCATATATGTCGTGTGGCGACGTAATCTGGCAACACGTCACTAGACGCTGAGGCCACCCCATGAGCACATATTGCTCTTCGGTTCCCGAAGAAAGGCTCGGACCGCAATACCCCCTCCCCCCAAGGGTGTCTCCGCATGCCAGCAAGCACATGATTCTGTTGAGCGTCAAGTCGCTGAGCCGATCCGAACAGACATGAAACCTTTGTTAGTTTCCGCTGCGCGCGCACGAGCTTCGGCAGGCCCTTTCCTCAGACGCCTTCCTACGGAGATCGTCACCAACTTCCTTCAAGCTTTCCAGACAGGACAGTAGAACGAGCACAGCACAGTGCACGATTGGCATGTGCATTTTTTTCCCGCAACTCGGTTGCCAGCTGGCAGATTGTTTGGTGCCTGAAGCGTCTTATCCGCACACTGATCGCAGGATTCCGTCCTTCAAGACAGACGTCGACAATATCCCAGGGCCCCTGACCCATGAAAAGTTGGCAGAGCACAACTGCGATTCCTTCAGTCGACGACCCGGGGTGCCTGGTTTGCCCTACCCCCATGCATCCCGACAGTCTCAGGGAGGCAGGACCGAGGACGATGCCAGCTTGAAGCTAGATCCTTGGGGACCAACTGAGTCTTAAAAAGTGGTTTATGGTTCACATACCTTAATAGGAACTATAGTAATCTAGGGTATATGACCTAAACCCTAAACCCTAAACCCTAAACCCTAAACCCTAAACCCTTAGGCTCATTTGGTCCCCAAGGATGGGAGCATCTGCTCGGACTTGCCGCACCGCTTGGGCGTCACCGGCGTCGTCCCCTCCCAAGCCGCCTGCCGGAAGCAAAACCGCACCTGTGACAACTGGAAGCTTGGTAGCCCACTGGTACCCTGTACCTTTCTTTGGGATCTGGGTTCCCTTTATAAAGTAACCAACCAAAAAAAAAGGCTGCCCTCATTATGATCTGGTTTCTGGGCTGCTAAGGAAGGAGGGGAGCGTCCTCGAAGTCTTCTCCGCGTCCGCGGGGCAGTGGTACGCTGCCCAAGTGGGCCAAGTGGAACCGCAAAGTGATGGCAGCGAGGACATCGTGACGGTCGTCTTCTACATCGGTGACCAGATCAAGCAGCTGGGTTGTGCTTTGGGATGTTTTTTTTCTTCTTTTGAATTTCCCTACTTTCCTTACAAGGGAACCTATTCACAAATGATTTTCAAAGGGCTTAAAGCACAACCCAGGCAGAAGTCTATCTACAGGACCGACGCTGCCCTAGCAGCCCTGGGCACCCACACCTTTAATGAGCCTTAGCAGCTGAGTGAGTACACTTTACACTTTTTGGGATACTCTAACCCCCTATAGAACTGAAAGTGTGCACTTTTTTTGGGGGGCTTGTGAAAACCCTGAACCCCAAACCCCAAACCCCAAGCCCCAAACCCCAAACCCCAAACCCCAAACCCCAAACCCCAAACCCCAAACCCCAAACCCCAAACCCCAAACCCCAAACCCTAAACCCTAAACCCTAAACCCTAACTCAGCAACTAAGGAGCTCCCACCAGGCTTCGAGACAAGGCCCTCGCAGTCTAAGCCGGGTCAGTTGGTCTACTTCGATCTCACGGCTGGCATCAAGCGCCCTGGTACGCAGAGAGGAGGTGAAGGGTTTAGGGTTTAAAGGGTTTAGGGCTTAGGGCGCTTAGGGCTTAGGGCTTAGGGTTTAGGTTTCACAAGTGCGAGGTTCTGAAGCGTTTTAAGAGTCTAATTTCAGTTCGAGACAGCACAAGCCACCCTATCATCACCCTGCACTGCAACTATTGGACAGCAACCGCAAGCAGGCAACCGAGGTATGGATGGACGAATGCAATATTCATTCTGGAAGCCAGCCTCGTTTGCATGAGTATGTGCCCACCTACCCTCCTTACCCAAAGGCTCCAATGTAGTTCCTTTTTGGGTTAATTATGGGGAATTCCAGTATACTACCCCAAAAAGTACTACATAGGAGCCTTTGGGTAGAAAGCTCTCAGAGTTCCAACCCGAGCCACGTCGGTGCTTCCTCGACGCGAGCGAGGTACGCCTCGCTGGAGCTTGCCTGGCATGTGCACTTCGAGCGCCTGAAGCAGCAGCCCGCCGGTTGTGAGACTGTGGTGACTGAGCTCAAGCTTTAGGGTTTAGGGTTTAGGGGGTTTAGGGGGTTTAGGAGGTTTAGGGTTTAGGGCTTACGGACTACCTCGTTGGCATTGCACAAGCCTTCTTGGATCACTGCAGAAGCTTCAACCCTGAACCCTGGTAAACCTCACGTGAGGCGTGCGTGCCAGCGGGCAGGGGCCCCCGTGCCCCCGTCCTCCAGGCACCGATCGCAGAAATCCCTTCGCCCATGCCGCTTGCTTGCACAATCTGTGGCTCCTTTTCTCAGGTTATTTCTCAAAAATGATTGGACAGACCCAGCTTAAGACTCGGCTTGTTTACCTTTATGGTTCTAAACTAAATACAGCAATCAAAAACACATATAAAGAATATATGTGTACATATATATATATATAGATATACCATAAAGGCAAACATGTATAATATATAGAATAATATATAGATATGTATATATATATATACATATATACATGTACATATATATATATATATGAATCAGACATAGTGTGTGCACAGTTCACGGTAGCTTCAAGACTGGAAGCAAAGGAAGTCAATGACCCTGGCCGAGCTGGCGAGGGAGGACTCGGGGGAGACGCAGCCGCCTTCGGGCAAGGCGAGAGACTTCTGAAGCCCTTTGCAGCCCTAAGCCCGAAAACCAAAAGAGATATTGATACCTATGAATCTACATATAAATATATAATGGTTTATTTATTTGTTTATTTTTTGTTTATTTATTTATTAATTTGTCTGTGTATATGTATATGTACATATATATATATATATGAATTGAGACACCCTATAATCCTAAACCTCATAAACCAAGAGAGAGAGAGAGAGAGAGAGAGAGAGAGAGAGAGAGACGGAGAGAGAGAGAGAGAGTTTCGCTGAGTAGAAGAAGAAGAAGAAGAAGAAGAAGAAGAAGAAGAAGAAGAAGAAGAAGAAGAGAGAGAGAGAGAGCGAGCCAGCGAGAGAGAGAGAGAGAGAGAAAGAGTGCCTCACCTCTTTTTTTACACAAACACCCAAAAGGGGCACCATGTTTCAAGCCCTCGTCAGTCAGAGTGCTGATGAGGGCTGATCTCTGCCGGGCGGGCCTGAACAGCGGGAGCCAAACTAGACTGCCGAACCGCTTGGCCGTCGTGGCCGAGGGATCTCCTTCGGGGGCTCCTCTAAAGCGTGGAGAAGGAGGAGGAGGAGAAGAAGAAGAAGAAACAGAAGAAGCATAAAAAAGAAGGAGAAGAAGAAGAAGAAGAAGAAGAAGAAAAAGAAGCAGAGAGAGATAGAGAGAGAGAGACCGACCCTAAACCGTAAAATCCGTAAACTTCTCGGCCTAGCGTCAAGAGATGCCAGCGCCCTTTGGCAGGTCGCCCTTCCTTCTTTTGGAGACGGGCTGGGGAGCCAGGCAGGATGGCCCGGCCTATGTTGTAGGGTTTAGGGTTTAGAGTTTAGGGTTTAGGGTTTAGGGTTTAGGGTTTAGGATTAAAGGGTTTAGAGTTTAGGGGTTAGGGGTTAGGGTTAGGGTTTTGCCTTGGTTTTAAGTATGCGTCTCTACAGGCGGAAGGATGAAATCATGGACTCATAGGGTTCAGGGTTCTGATTGTTCTGGCTGTCGCTGCAAGCGCAGATTCAAACAAGGTTCCCTAAACCCCTAAATAACCTAAACCCTCAAACCCCAAAACCCTAAACCATAAACCCTAAAACCCTAAACCCTAAACCCTAAACCCTGATGCTGATGGAAGGGTGCTTATTTGGACTACGTCGGGGCCCCTGCTGCTGCCGGAAGCTACGGCACTGAGAGCGCATCTCTGGCCTCCGGCTATCAGGCTCGGGGTTTAGGGTTTAGGGTTTAGGGTTTAGGGTTTAGGGTTTAGGGTTTAGGGCTTGTTGGGCTCACTGGCTCACTGGTTGCTGTGGATACTTGTGTCAGGTAGTGAACGCTTCGGCGCCACAGAGACCGATCAAAATCAGACCCTTGGCGCACAAGCTGTCCCTAAACCCTCAACCCTAGACCATAGGCCCTAAACCCTAAACCCTGCACCTGCATTTTTCCAAGGCCCGGAGGTCTGCTTCAGGCTTCTACTCATGTTCCGATGAAACCCGAAACCCTACAACCCTGAACCCTAAACCCTAAACCCTAAACCCTGCAACCTTGCAACCCTGCAATCCTACAACCCCAGCATGAGGAACTGTCGACCCAGTGCTGCAGAAATGGCAGGAGGCTGCTTTGCGGCCTTTCAGTGTTTGGCGTTTAGGGTTAGGGTTTTCGGGTTTTAGGGTTTAGGGTTTAGGGTTTAGGGCACAGTCACTTTTGCCCATGTGACTGGAGCCATGACGAACACTTTTTTGGTTCCAGAAATACGCAGCACGTGCCTCGATCCATTGAGGATGCATTTTCTGAGTGGCGGCGGTAGCAGTGCTCGATAATTCGGGCCCGGAGCAAAAGCTTGGGGCGAACTCGGAATGTTGGCAGATCTTTTCTCAGTGCTCCGGTTCAAGTAGGAGCGGCAACCTTGGCAGTACGAGGCGCAGCTTGGATTTTAGGGTTTAGGGTTTAGGGCCTGAGAGAATTTGCCACGTAAATGTGCAAAGTGTAATTGCCAGCCCAAACGACCATCGAATCCGCCCAGCTGGAGAAGAAAAGGCATCGAAGATAGCTTGAGTTCCGCTTCCTGCTGCCTCGTTCCTGCCGCATTCTGACAACCCAACCGCAACTCTCAGAGCAAGATCGCAACTTGAGAGTTTGCATCCTTAACTTTCAGAGGCAAGATGGCTGCATTGTGCGAAGCTGTTCATCCTTTTTTGGCATGCCGAGAAGCCCCGGTACCTTCAAAGTCGTGTTCGTTCTCCCACCTGGCTGGCATGGCCGTTGCATATACTGTGCGCTTGCTGAGCGGCGATTCGTTCGAGGCTGGCCGGCGTCTTGTAAAGGGGCGGCGTGGGGGAGCGGTTTAGGGTTTAGGGTTTAGGGTTTAGGGTTTATAGGGTTTATAGGGTTTATAGGGTTCAGGGTTTAGGGTTCAGGGTTCAGGGTTTAGGGTTCAGGGTTCATGGATAGCTGTTGCAGCAGATGGCAGGTCGAGCTGTCGCACAGAAGCCCGCTTGTCAAAGAGGTGAAGGCGGCCATCAGAGATGCGAAAGGGCTCCCAGTGTCACCTGGACCGGCGCTATTTCCTAAACCCGAAACCCTAAACCCTAAACCCTAAACCCTAAACCCTAAACCCTAAACCCTAAACCCTAAACAGCACCTGCAGCGTGGAGGGGGGAGGGAGGGGAGGGAGGGAGGGGAGCAGAGGGAGGAATGGAGGGAGGGAACGATGTAGCTTAGCCACAGGAGGGCGCGGGCCAACATGCAATGCAGAAAGCACAAGCCGACCTAGGACAAACCCTAAACCCTAAACCCTAAACCCTAAACCCTAAACCCTGGCAGTGACTCAAGTCAACGGATGATGATTCGAAGCTTGTACCCCTAAAGTTAAGGTAGTAGAAGGGCCATATTAGGAGTATAGTAAGGGGAACCTTTAGGCCCTAAAGCTTCCCCTTACTATACTCCGAATGTGGCCCTTGATGCTACCTTAAGGATCTCGAAGAAGGGCCTCAACATCCAAGGGTGCAACCTTAAGGGCCCAAGGTATAAACAAACATGGATCAAAAGGGTTTAGGGTTTCGGGTTTAGGGTTTAGGGTTTAGGGTTTCGGGGTCCCCGCGTCCTCCCCGGAATTAGATAAAATCTCCCGCTTCAATGCAGAGACTCCAGGGAGCCCCGGGTCCTGTGGGTTTAGGGTTTAGGGTTTAGGGTTTAGGGTTTAGGGTTTAGGGTTTAGGGTTTAGGGTTTAGGGTTTAGGGTTTAGGGGTCCCCACGCTTCTGGTACTATTGCAGTTCCCTTAGCTAAACTTCGTAGGCTAGTTCGCGGTTAAAAAACAAGGTTCCGATGTACTATTTTTATTTCCCTTAGTTCAACTTTGTAGGCTTGTTAGCGTTTAAGACAATTTCCGATGTACTATCTTATTTCCCGTAGTTCAACTTTAAGTAGGCTAGAGTTAGCCGAGTGGCCCGGAACCCTAGCCGTCATGCTTAGAAGCCTGGTGGACCAGGGGTGCCCTTTTCCATTTTGTTGGGTTCAAGGTTTCTTCTTATAAAGTAACCAAGCCAAGAAAGGGTGCCCTTATTGTAGTATGGTTACTGGGCTACCAAGCTTAGAAGCTTGGTGGAGATACAAAAAGGAAGAGGCGGCTTATCTCTTCTGAAAGTCAATCATATTCATTGACTGGCAGTTTGTCCACTGTTCAATGCTTGAAAAAAACTGAGACCGTAATTAGAGACATCGGCCACGAAGCCTTGCTTCAGCTTCGGCGAGGAGCAGGCGTAACGAGACCTGAGGATTTCGACCCAGCTCAGGTATGACCAACGCCTGATTCTTGATGGAGAGGAGCTGGCCAACTTCAGCGTGGCAGCCGGGTTTGCTTAAGGTGTCTACCGGAGGATGACAAGGGTTTCAGGTTCGGGGTTCTTTGAGCTGGGAAGTACACGTGGGGTCAGGTTTCGTAAGGCAAGATGGCCGCCGCCGGTTATCAACACCTATGTTCAAGTTCGCTAATCTTGGAATGTGCTGGACAGCGGTGCTTCTTTCCTGGCTTTTTTGTGTTGTGTGTGTGTGTGTGCGCTGCACGCAGGGCAAACCGCTGGCCGACGTTGGCACATGAAATTCGTACTTGCGCAACCAGGTGAACACTGACAAAGAGATCTTGCTCATCATCGGAGCCACGAACATTGCAGAGACGGTCTTGGATTATATGCGAAATCGTGGGGCTGTGCTGCTTGTCACAGCATCCCGTGAGCTGTCGGTGTGCTTTTTTGTGTGTGCCATGGCCATGTGATGTACTCTGACCACACTTGGGGTTCAGGGTACTTATAACCCCCAATTCTAGCGGTACTTATATAAGCCCCCTAAGTCCCCTAAGTAGGTCATAAGTAGATTTATAGAATTGTGGTTATAAGTACCCCATGAACCTAAACCCTAAACCCTAAA